AATATTATTTATTTAATATATTATTATTTTAAATATTATTACATGTTTTTAAAAATTAAACCACCAAACATAATTTTAATTTTTTTTAAACTGAAAATAATATCGAAATAAAATTATCAAATATATTTTTAAAAATAATTCTAAAATAAAAATAAAAATATTTTTATTTTTATTTTCATATAAAAAATAAAAACATTTTGAAACTAATTCTAAACGCACCTTTATTATTTCATTATATCTACTTATTTATATATATATATATATATCTACATATAAACTACTTTTATTTTTTATAATATAAAAATACTACCCGCAGCAAGGCGTGGGTGACTAGTTTACCAGATAAAGACCAAATGAGTACATGACGCACTACGGCGCACGCTAGCGTTAGCTTTCGAATTCATAGACCAGTTTAATAATAAATAATAAACATAGAAAAAAATAAAATAAAAAGAAAAAGAAAAAAACCAGAAAATTCACATTCCTCTCTCTTCTTACAAGCTCCAAAATTAGGGTTTCATTTCCTTCAATTTTATTCTCTTTCTCTCTCTAACTTTCTCGCTCTTCAACTCGGACACTCTTCCAGAGTCTATCGATTTTCCCTGGTAAGATCTCCAAACCACCAATCTCCTTCCATTTTTTTCTTTCCTTTTTGTCCTGTTTGGTTTCTCGCCGAGAAAATGTTTCTCTTTTGATTTCCGAGAAAAGAAAGAAAAAAGAAAGAACTTTTTACTTAAAAATCTCTGGTAAGAAAACGAGAGAGAAAGAGAGGGATTTTCGGCGAGAAAAAGAAAATTATGGATGAAGGTGAGGGTGCGGATCACCTGGATCAGTTCCACCGCAACGAGGCGATCTCGGCGGTCGCCGACGAGGGTTTCTTGGGGGAGGAGGACGACGATTACGAGGACCTCTACAACGACGTCAATGTCGGCGAGGGTTTCTTGCAGTCGTTGAGAAAGAATGAAGAGGTTCGAAACGAGGTGGTTGAGGAGAAGAAGGTGGAGCCGCCTCTTGCGGCTCAGGAGCCTGGGGTTTCGATCCCCGGTGTCGGTGGAGGGAGCGGCGAGGGTACTGGAGGTGGTGATGGCGGGGCTAGGGTTCCGTCTGGGGGGTATAATCAGAATCTAGGGTTTAGAGGGAGCGAGATTGGCGTGAAGGGAAGTGGTGTTGGATCAGGGCCGTCGGTCGGTGGGGGAAGTGGAATTAGGGTTGAATTGGGGCAAGCTTCGAGTAAGATGACTGAGTTCGAGGAGCAAAGTGGGAATACTGGTGTTGGAGTTCAAGTGATTGGTCAGCAGCAACAGCAACAACAGCCGCTGCCGCCACAGCAGCAACAACCGCCTCATGGCGGTGCGGTGGGGAGTGTTGGGAGCTTGGGGGGTGAGAATATGATGAGGCAAGGAGGTGGAGGTGGTAATGTCAATGGGGTTGGTGGTGGTGGTGGAGGAGGTGCCGGGACAATATTGTTTGTTGGGGATCTGCATTGGTGGACCACGGACGCTGAGCTGGAGGTGGAGCTGTGTAAGTATGGGCCGGTGAAGGAGGTTAAGTTTTTCGATGAGAAGGCTAGTGGGAAGTCAAAAGGGTATTGCCAGGTTGAGTTTTTCGAACCGGCTGCTGCCACGGCCTGCAAAGAGGGGATGAATGGGCATGTGTTCAATGGGCGGCCCTGTGTTGTTGCATATGCATCGCCCTATAGTGTTAAGAGAATGGGTGAGGCTCAGGTGAACAGGAATCAACAGATAGCTCAGTCTTCCGTTTCTCAGGCTAGAAGAGGACCTAATGAGCCTGGGGGTAAACCTACTGGGAATAGCATCGCAACAGGTGGGAATTATCAAGGTGGGGATAACAATAGAGGAGGTTATGGGAGAGGTAACTGGGGAAGAGGTAATGCGCAGGGGATGGGAAATAGAGGTCCGGTTGGTCAAATGAGAAATAGGGGTGGTGCAATTGGTGGCAGAGGTATAATGGGAAATGGGGGAAGTGGGTTTGGCCAGGGTATTGGCACAACCCCTCCAATATTGCACCCTCAATCGATGATGGGCCAGGGTTTTGATCCAACATTTGGGGCCCCTATGGGGAGAATGGGCAGTTATGGAGGGTTTCCTGGTGCTCCCACACCTCCATTTTCTGGACTTTTGTCCTTCCCTCCTGTGGGGGGTGTTGGTTTGCCTGGAGTAGCCCCGCATGTGAATCCGGCATTTTTCGGAAGAGGTGGGATGCCCATGAATGGAATGGGGATGATGCCCACGACAGGTGTTGATGGGCCTAATATGGGGATGTGGTCGGATCCTAGCATGGGTGGATGGGGTGGCGAAGAACACGGCGGCGGGAGAGCTGGGGAGTCTAGTTATGGTGAAGAAGCTGCATCTGATCATCAATATGGTGAGGTTAGTCATGACAGAGGAGGGTGGCCTAATGCCATGAAGGAGAAAGACAGAGGTTCAGAGAGGGACTGGTCGGGGTCTTCTGATAGAAGGTACAGAGATGATAGGGATCAGGCTTTTGATAGGGACATGCCTAGGGAAAAAGATACAGGTCATGAGGAGTGGCCTGAAAGAAGGCATCGTGATGACAGAGAAGTTGGTCGAGAGCGGGATAGAGAGCGTGACCGGGAGCGAGAGCGTTCTCGTGATCGTGAAAGGGATCGGGACAGGGATCGTGACAGGCATAGGGGGGAAGATAGAGACAGATATGCAGACCATCATAGGTACAGGGACCGTGAAGCTGAACATGATGATGAATGGGAAAGGGGACGGTCATCAAGGACTCACAAGGGACGGGTGTCTCAAGAGGATGATCATCGTTCAAGATCAAGGGATGCTGACTATGGGAAGAGGCGGCGGCTTACTTCCGAGTGACTGATTTGACGCTTCTTATTTTTGGATACTTAAAATCTAGAAAAGAAAGACAAAGTGAGAAGAAACTCTGGGGTTTTTATGCTATCTCGACTCTCTTTCAAGTGGCGTCTTATGGTTCTTGATTCACGCAATGGTTCTTCACTCCATCGGTCCAATCTCTGGATGGCTTCTTGTATTCAGAAGTATTGTTTGGTTCTTGGTGAGAAAGGTAACTGAATAAAAATTCAAGTAACATTCTTCTTTTAAAATCTAGTAGTAGATGACGTCCATGATCCCTTTATTGTATGTTTGCTGCGGTGCATGTAGTGTGTAGCATTCTTTACTGCTTGTATGCCTGCCGTAATCTCAGAACCTGTTCAGTCGCCTGTGAATTTTCATGTTAAGCTAATATTGTTATATTGAGAAACCATAAACAAACACTCATGTAGTTGACTGCTGTATTTACACTGGTGTATCTCGATCGCTAAAGGAGTTTGTCATTCCTTTACATGCCCTTTATGAATGTGGTCTATCATGAGAATTTTGGCAGTGGTTTCATTTTGAGCCACGAAAAGTGGAAAGATTGTAGACAATTTTGCTACTTCACCCGAAATTTAAGCGTCTTTATCATTTGGTGTGCTCTTAGATTTGGAGTTTCAACTTGAAAACATTTGAACTCTTCTCAGTTATACTCATGTCTTGCATTTGACTTATTAGTTGACTAAAATGACTTCTTCCTTTTTGTCTTGGAGCCAAAACATTCTTTATTACCCATCTAATTTGTGGTTTTGGTTGAAGGGATGTGGGCAGCACCTTGAATGTCTATCCCTTTTTCTGGCTTAGTTGATGGTATCAATTATGGTTTAGTTGTTAGTGGTTACCTTTTTTAGGCAAGTTTGCTTGTTTTATGTTAAACTTAACATCATTTTTGTTACTGTTTGTGTTAGTATGGCTCGCGGTTGCAAATTGTAATTTGACTTATTCTTTGTTTGGTAGCTGGAGGGCATTCTATCTTTGAGAACCAAAGCTGTGTTGACAGGAACTGAGAGTTTTGCCATTGAGATGAAGAGGGACCTCTTGGCTTGTGCATGGGAGAGAGAATGGATGGTTGTTGCCCCGTTGCCTAATAGAGTTAGAAGTGGACTCTTGCTTTAAGTTTTTAGCTTTCTTTTGCCCTTGTGTTTTTAGTTAAATCAGCACTTGATCAAAACAGATATCAATATTATGGATGATGTTAAATTGCCGAAGTCTGGAATGTGGTTAGACTATTTTGGAACTTGATGCTTGAATGGTGATGTAATAGGATTTAGCACAGGATGTTGTTATTGTGCCTTTTTTTATTGGCTGGTTGTTGTATCATTATTTCCCTCGTTTTTTCTTTTTTCTTGTTCTTTTTCGAGTGTATGTATACTACCATGCTCATTGTGCACATTTTTGGTGAAGTTGCTGTAGTAGGCTAACCATTCAATTGAAGTAGGTTTATACCCAGAGATTGTAACCATACGGCTTTGTACATACTGAGATATTTATGGAATAGATTTCATTCTTCATAATCCATGGTTTTTTTTTTCCCTGTCCTCCTTTTACTGTTGACCACATGTTATGTTTTTCACTTGGGTACTGTTAAGAATCTCTTGAGTTATTTGTCAAAATATTTGTACCAAATGATGTGGCAAATGAGTTATTAGTTTCAATTGGTGTGGTACAACTTTATATTAATAAAGATGGATAAACCAATTGGAGAATTGCAATTTAGATGCTATATCATTTGGTGCAAAGAAGATTTTGAGAGCTCATTTGGGATCCCTATCATTATTCTTTTTCACTTTTTTTTTTTTTTTTTCATTTGGTGCAGCTTCATTAGACAGATCATATAGATTCGCCTGATAAGTCAATCTGCCAAAAGAAGCACATTTGGCATTCTATAGGCATTCTTGTTTTGCATTTGCATTTGCATTTTCAGTGTACTGAACAATTAGTTCACTTCTAGAGGATTTCCATTTTTAGATTTAGAATAACGTGGCAGTGATTTTGCACCATTTTGCTGAATTGAATTTGCTACTGTCTAGAAGATGTTGAAATTTAAGAAGATTGTGTTTGCTAGTTTTGTTAGATTTGGATGGTAGTGTACCATGGACGTGCATGTTATGACTATTGATTATATTTCTTGAAGAATTATTTTCATAAATGCCCCTGAATTATGTATTTTGTTTTAAAGTCTCTTGATTTTTTAAAACCATTCAAAACACTCCTTGATATGTAAAAAATAGATCAAAATGTCCCCTCCAGACTCCATTAGTAATTAATTCATTTTCTTTTTCATTTTAATTAGATTTTCCATTTTAATATTAGTGCAACGTTAATAAAATCCATTAGATTATTTACAGAAGTCAACGGAGGGGGCGTTTTGATATATATTTTATAAATAGAGGAATGTTTTGAACTGTTTTGAAGAATTAAGGACATTTTAAAATAATTTACATAATTTGGGAGGTATTTATAAAAATAATTTTTGCTCGAAAGTTGGATGAAGGAGATGTTTATTGCGGACTTATCATTTATCTCGCTGTGGTTTTGATCACGAAGCTAGCAACTAAAGTGAATTCCCTCTAAATTATTTCATTAGCAAAAATAATAATAAAAAAAGACAACAATTTTATGTTACTCCAAAATATACGACTATGATATCAATCTTACCATATTACAAATTAAGATGACGTTTGTTTGCTGTATTTATCCATGATTTTAAATTATGATTCATGTTTTTTTACAATATTTTTTTCTTATAAAAAATACACGTAAAATGAGAATAGTTCTGAATCATGATTCTAAATCTATAAACTAAACGTCCATAAAGAGCTAAACTCTTACGCTCTTCAAGCTCTAAATATACAAGCACGTTATGTATTTGTGTGTGATCCCAACTTAACTTTTATGGTAAAAATTGTTATTTTAGCGGTTGTATTAATTTTTCAACGGTATGATAAAGTATGAGAAATTCGATGTCGTGTTCACACACTCACATGTCTGACTGTTAAAAATGTAATCTATAATATAGCATACAAATAATTAACTTACCGTAACACTTAACTTGGTACGGGCAATCTTTACCATACAAATAAACACTCTTACATAGTGGTAAAGTCTGTCACTAGAAACTTAAAAATTTAATATAATTGCCTTCTAACTTCTGTTAGTAGAGAGAGATTATGACCCACTATCTGGGCCTACCCAAGTTAGAACCTGGGCTAATATGACCAGGCCCATTCTTAGCAAGCCCACTACCACCACTGCCCACACCCAATTGATGAAACCCACCAGAACCGTACACGTGTCCCTGATGCTGTTGCCCCATCATCACCATTCCATATACCCCACCACCACCTGCTCCTCCATCCCCAAACCCCACTCCACCAGCACCACCATTCCCCACGCTCCCAGCGGCCACGTCCTTTTCACGCGCCACCGTGGTGGCCCCTCCCTTCTCTCCCTCCGTCTCGCGAAACCTCTGCAAGTAGATCTTGAGAGGCTCGACGTAGTCCTCGAACCCTAGCGTCGTCATCGCCCAGAGCAGATCGTCGCCGTTGATCGTCTTCCTCTTCTCCCTCTGGCACTTGTCGGAGGCCTCGCCGGTGATGAAGCTTATGAACTCCGATACGCACTCCTGCACCGTCTCCTTCGCGTCCTTCGAGATCTTCGCGTTCGCCGGCAACGCCTTCTTCATGATCCGGCTCACGTTCGCTATGGGCAGCAGCCGGTCCTGCTCCCTCAGCGACATCTCGCTGTTCGCGTCTCCGCGGTTGTTGTTCCCTCCTCCTCCCGAGTCGTTGTCAGAATCCGCCATTGATGAAGCTTCCTGTTTCTTTCTTCGAAATAAGGTAACCTTTCGCTCGCCTGGAAAATTAGGTTTTTGTGGCCGAAAACTGCTCTGAATTTCACGAAGTTCACTCAATTGAAAGGCAATGGAAGAGAATTCCGATGGAACCTTGGAAATTGTTTCGCAGAGTTTGCTTGATTCCTTGAGAAAATACGAGAGAATTCGAAATCAAGGACCTTGAATTTGAAGAAATCAATTAGGTTTCAAGCTAATTAGATTTCCGAGTCCGCCTTTGATGAAGACTCTTCAGAGCGTCCTCTTTCTTTCTTACTACCACGAAATGAGGTAACACCTTTGCGCCAAAAAAAAGTTTTTGACTGGAAATTGCTATGGAATTTTCAGAAATTTGAAAACTTGGAATAGAGTTTCGATCTTCAGAGTGATAATCGCAGCTTCAACTGGAAACTTCGAAGCTTGAATATTTCAGAGAGAATTTCCAGAGTACCTGATTTCCGCAGAAAATAAGAAAGAAAATAAGTGAGAATTAGAAATCAAAGACCTTGAATTGATTAAATAGCATGGAAATTTGGTTCTGAATATTGCTGGGAGAGTAATCGGCGGCGAGTTCTTTCGCTCCCGTCTCCGGCGAAGTAAGAGAGAGAAAGAAGAGAGAGAGAGTGAGAGACTAGAGAGGAAGTTTAGTTTAGGAGCGAGTGAGTTGGATCCGTTGGATCATTTGCGTTTTTAAACGCCCATCTTTCGAAACGTGGATTAATGTAGACCGTTGTTCGTCGATAAGTGTGAATTTTCACGGATGAGATTGGTGATGTCTGATTGGTTGAAAGGTGGAAGATCTGGACCCTTGCTTAGGCATCTTGCACGTGATCAGTCTGACCTGGCCTTTCTTTTGATTTTTTAAAAAAATATTCTTTGGTTAGATATTTTTTTAAGTAATTAGAAGAGGTGTAGGGGCAGCAGGCCCGGCCCGAGTAGAAATTTTGAGAAAATTTCGGACCAGCCCGGCCCGGCTTTAAAAGAGAGAGTCCACCCTAAGTTTAAAAAATTTAGAGTTAATTTTTAGTGTGATCCAAAATTTTAGAAGGTATTTTAACAAATTTTTTGAAAAATATGAAGTTCAGATCTGTTCGATTTAAGCTAATAGTAGCGGATCTCAGGTTGGCTTATTTAATCCCGTCTAAACTTAAAGTTCTATTAGTATCACTATCTAAATTAAAAAAAAAACACACACACACGGTTACTCCCCAAAAGAGATCCTAATTGAAGTCTTTTTTTTTTATTATTATTTTTTTATAAATTAACACAATAGGAATAACATGGTATGTCTTTTTTTTTTAGTGAATACAAAATGGTGCTCAGATTGTGTGATTTGGTTTGAATTATGGTAATTTGAATTGCGATTCGAATCGGTGTTTGGATATGCAAATAAATTGTGTGGGAATAAAATCTTATCTATCTTTAGATAAAGTATTGAGAGCTATTAGAGTTTTGTAAAAAAAATTTATAAAATCTCATTATAAATGACATTAAAAAAATATGCAATATAAATATGAATTTGTTCCTCTTTTCATTTCATTATGAACATATTGAATTAAAAAAAAAAAAAACATCTCAATTTGAATTGAAACAAAGTTATTTAGTTCATCTTTTGGATTGTGTGATTTGGTTTGAATTATAGTGACTTGAATTGCGATTTGAATTAGTGTTTAGTTACGTAAATAAATTATAATTTGAATTGAGAATAAATCTAAATTGTTTTTAGATAAATTATTGCAAATTATTGTTAGAGTTTTGTAACAAATTATATAACTTCATCATAAATTATATTAAAAATCATGTAATATATTTCTCTCTTCTTTATAAATACATTGGAAAAAAAAAATCTCAGAAATTGAAACGAAAACAACAACAACCAGTTACCAACATCAACTGGAAAAACGACAACAAAGGTAAATGACTTTGAAGAAAACGGCAGTAACCAACGAAGGATATCCAAACTCAAAAACGATATTAAACTTAAAAATGACAATGAAGTCAAACGGCATGTTGTCGAAAACGAGAGGAGCGTAGAAAACGACACCAGCTGATGAAATCACAAGCACAGTCCGGTAAAAATCAACCGTCTTAAAAGTTGGGTTGCCTATTTCTTTTTCTTTTTCCCCGAAAGCGATGTAAGAAAATTTGTTGAATTTATCTCCCCATATTACTTAAAAGTAGTGGTGGCAATTCATGGGTCATGTTTGTATGTAAAAACCCGTTTATTAATTGTATTAGAAAATATCAATTTAAATACGATTAAATGTGTCAAAATGTTAATTTAAACACGACTTATTTATTAATCGTGTCAACTTACATAACTCATTTAAATTAATATATTAGATAAATAATTAACATGACAATAACTTATTTAATATGATCATAATAGGTTTAACATGTTAGTCAATTTATCTTTTCTTTTAAGAAAAATAAATAAATTTTACGTACAAATATTAAAATTCAGATTATTTGTATTTAATATGTCATATAAACTTTCACGTTATATCATATATCATTATATTGTAGATGACACATATAGTTAATCGTGTCAATTCGTGTTAGGAGATCAATCATAACACAACTTATTTATTAATCGTGTCAACTCGATTACGACCCAAATTCATTTATAATAAACATAAACCCACTAACTTCATGCGAATTTCGAATCATGTTTCGTGTTATGATCCAAATTGTCACCCTTACTTAAAAGTATTGGAGATATTTTAGTCGCTTAATTAATTTTAATCGATTAAGAATAAAGGTAGTTCAAGTAAAATTAACTCCAAGCAAAGGAGTAAACAAACAAACAAGTAAAAGGTTTTCTTGGATCAGGTCTTCTTCATTTTATGGTGGATTCTGAAAATTTCAAATGATAATAGAGATGGGAAAAGGGATGACACAAATTATGTCGTTTTTTTTTATTTAGCAAAAAAAAAAAAAAAAAAAAAAAAGGATATCTTGTACCTCTTTAAACTTGAAAAACGTGTCCGTTCTAACCTTATTCATGAATTAAATGCCATATCACGGGTATATTGTACGATTGGTGTATATTAATAATTGAAGTTGCTTTCTTTGTCTCAACTAGCTTGTAGAAGGGCGAAGTCTCGTTTCATATACATTTCCTCATAAAGAGTTAAAAGAAGCGAGTAGTAATGTACCATGTAAATAGAATAATCCATTATTTAATTTGGATAAATACGACCCTTTTCTCCTTTGATGTTATAGGTCAAGTGAACTACGTTTTAGTCTTAATTAATAATTTGGATAGTGAGGTTTAGATAATGCAAGTAGGGCTGGTAATATGGGTCACGACACGATGACACGACTCGAAAATGACACGAATTTTACGGGTTAGGGTTGAGAAAAAAGATTTTATGGTCAGAATTGGGTCGACTTGAAATTGACATGAAAAACACGGGTCAATTTCGGGTTGGACCCGCCTAACCCGAATACGACACGAAACTCGTAAAAAACTAAAAAATACATATATTTTTCATTTCATATTTTAAATTTTATTATGAACTTGTGATATCATGATAGTTATACTTAAACTCTTATATTATTATTTGCTTAATTTCAATAGATGTTATTGTAATTTAGTGTGTTAAGAATTTTAAGTTATTTCTAATATGTAAAAAACTAAATAAAAGTATACAATTTTCATGTTAATTTCAGATTCACAGGTCAATTTCGTGTCACGGATCATTTTCGGGTCATGTCGTGTCAACTCGTAAAGTGGTAGTGTCGTGTTCGTGTTGCGATTTTTAAAAAATTTCGTGTCACGAGTCGTGTTCGGGTTGACTGTAAATTTTAAAAAAAATGATCAAAACACGATACGTGACACAAATTGCCACCCCTAAATGCAAGCCAGTGACTCCATTTATTAAAGTTTTTTTTTATGCAATGCAAATTAGTGATTAGGCAAGTGAGAATGATGACAAAGTCATGGCATTTAAAATCTCAAACCTACCACGGACCACCCATAGACAATGACTTCTCATTTTCTTCTTGTAATTTTGTTTGGAATCAAGGTTAAAAAAAAAAGTGATGGTTTCTGTTGTTAGGTGACAAAGTTGAAATGTTAATGAATGATTGGGAAATAGAAAACTTTTTGAAGTGAACATCAATTTATAATCAAATAAAGATCTACTTGAAGATTCACAACGATAAGGTGAAATTAAATTTCTCTTTACGACTTTCATGAACTATAAAAACTCTAGTAAAACGCACTCAAGGATGGTTATGTGGATCTTTGATGCCCCACAAATTCTAAAGATACTTTATATTTCATGTGTATTCAAAATCTCTTATTAGTTTATTTTCTCTTTTAGAGTTTTATTTAGTGCCTCACTACCAAGAAAGTGGGGGATTTCTCTTTTACTAGAAGATTTTGACAGTGGTCACGCTTTCAAGTAGTGGATGGTGGGTATAATCATATGTTAATCTTGTTCTGATCCTTGGTTATGAAACTGCTGCATTAATTAATATGAGATTTTATGATAGGACATAAAAAATTTAATGCATAATTTTAAAACCGTTAAATTTTTATCAAATTATGTTATGATCCTACCGTTCATAATTATGTCCTGATAATTCTTCTCACCTATTGAGTAATAGGTCTAACTAAAGCAACTAAGAAATTGGGATATTAAAGAAGTACAGTAGGGTTAATTTCAATAATAGCACTCATAAATAAATGATTATTAATTTTAGTACCATTTTTGTATACTTTCACAATTAGTATTGCCATATCAGCAGTGTGAGATAAAATGACTTCTATGCCACTTAGGTCAAAATTATCATTTAAAAGCACCTCAAAAAAACTCTCAACTCTCTTCCGCCCGTTCTCTTTCTCTACACCCCATTTTCAGCTCTCTCTCTCTCTCTCTCTCTCTCTCTCTCTCTCTCTCTCTCTCTCTCCTCAAGTTTAGTCTCTCTCTCTACTCGGTCTCTCTTTTCCCTACACCCTCATTTCCTCGTCGCCAATACTCCGGTTGTGCACAGATCGAGGTTGGTACACATTTTTTTTTTGTTTTTCTTTTATTTTTGTCTTTTTAAATTTATTTTTCGAGAGACTTAGTATATAGAACTTGAAAAAAATGACTGGGTTGAACTTAATGTGATAGGAATTAAAAATATCCTTCGTCAATTTGAGATTTTGGATGGTTTATAACTGATATGTAAATTGATTGTAACGACCAACACATCAAAGACATAGTTGACCTTGGGAGTCATAGTATTATGACCATAGTGTTATATGTCCGGTCATAATACTATGACCAGTCAGTCATAACAGTATGAGTCATTGTCTATGAGTCAAATTATAACAATATGAGTCAAAATGGCCGGTCATAGTATTATGACCATAAGGCAGTCATAGTGATATGACCGTCCGGTCATAATATTATGACTGAAATGACCCATAGTGTTATGACTGACACACTATAACTGCCTTATGACTGGCCATTACACAGTGTTATGACTGGTCATTTCTAATGACTCGATGACGACTAGGAGTAATTGCATGTTGATTAATAGTTATTGTTTTTGAAATTATTTAGGAATGGTTGCTGGATTGAACGTCTTCATTAAGTACAATGGATATTGGGACCGTGCTTCGAGATACGTCGGTTGTGAAATGAAGGGATATTTGTCCCCACCAACACAACTTATATTGGTCTTATAGATTTGGTGAGAAATGTGCTTGGGATTCGGCCACAAGGAAAAAATTTATCCTTAAGATATGTTGTTGAAGACGGGAAAGCTCCTGTGAAGATATCGTCTGACTATGATGTCACATTCTATCAACGACATCTCTTCCTCCAAAGCCTTTCTTTTCTTCTAAGATGACAAAAAATGGTAAAAACAAAACAATAAATACAAAAAAACAAAACAAAACAAAAAAAGCAAACAAAGTACTATGACTGGCACACTAAGAGTCTAACCATTGAGCGGTCATAGCACGATGACTGACGATCATAATTCTATAACCGCCCATCATGCAGGCTTGCTCATAGTGTTATGATTTATGGCCGCCCATAAAAAAAGTACTATGTCTGGCACACTAAGAGTCTGAAAATTGTGCGGTCACATTACTATGACCTAGGGTCATAATGCTATGACCGCAAGACAGTCACACTATGAGCCTGACAATTGTGCGGTCACATTACTATGACCGAGGGTCATAATGCTATGACCGCAAGGCTGTCGTACTATGACCTTGCCAATTGTGCGGTCACATTACTATGACTGAGGGTCATAATGCTATGACCGTAGGCTCGTTAGTCAGACAATCGCACTATGCGCCTGCCTGCCTAATGGGCAGTCATAGTAATTATGACCATCGGTCATATTACTATGACCGCACGATGTGCCTGTCTTATGACTGGTCATAATAAAATTATCAAGCGGTCATAATGATATGATCGGCCATCATGTAGAGTCACATACAAAATAAGGAGCACAATGAGAATCCAATGACCCCCAAAAATTTCAAATAACTGACCTTATCTGCTTTTATCTCCTCCTCCAAAGGCTTTCTTTTCTTCTAAGATGACAGAAAATGGTAAAAGAAAAAAAACAATAAATATGTAAGAAAAAAAACAAATAAACAATAAAAGCCAACAAGTTTTCATCTTTGTCTCGGAATCCGCCATTGACCTTGTTTGTTTTGTGGCTGATTTCTCCGGCGAAGAGGGGGAGGTTTCCTTGGTTTATTTTTCTCCGACGAAGAGGTTTAGGCGTTGATTTCTCCGGCGAAGGTTCATCAGTTCTCGTCACATGATTGCGTGGGTTCTTGCTATTGTGGGTTTTCGCTGTCGTGGGTTCGTCGGTGCTCAGAGTGGTAGACGGGACGGTGATAGACGGTGGTGGTTGTTGGGGTTTCTTGGTCTCTGTGCACACCCGCGTTCATTCTCCTCCTCCTCTCTCTACTTTAAATATTTCAATTATAAAAGCCTTCATAATATATATATATTCAAGGCTTTAAAACTGAAATGAGGCACAATTGTCATTTTAACTCAAATAAAAAGGGCATGGTCTCACTTTTACTGATATGGCGATGTTAATTGTAAAAATATACAAAAGTAGTGTTGAAATTAATAATCTTTTATTCAAGAGTGCTATTATTAAAATTAACTGATTATAATATCATCACAATCAAGTCTTTGTCGTAATAGGATACACCAAGATGGTGATACCTTTTCATAAAATAGTTTTTTTTTTTTTTTTTTTTTTGTTTGGTTCATTTTATTGAGCACAAGCATGGAAGGGGACAAAGAAGTTCGTTTTTTTTTTCTTCAAAGTTAAATTGGAAACTAAATCTTTACTGCATATTGCCATTTTGATCCCTAAGGCAGATAGTTATCTCAATTATTTGCGAAAGGTTCAAAAGATCAAGAGGCCTCATGATCTGGTGGACCCTTTTTTCCCTATGAAATCCAATTCTGGCTAGAATAAATATTAAAAAAGTCGTTAAAGCTGTGACAACTAAATGGAAAATCGTCTAAATTTTAAAGAAAATTACATGGTTTTATTATAGTTTTGTGCCTACTTATTATTTATGTCATTTTAAATAATCAGTGCTATTGTGGTTTTTATTTTTTGTTTATTAATTGAATGCAGTGACAGAGTTAGAATTTATTAGTAGGGGGTTTAAAATTTTTTTTAATCAAGATTATACTAACATGTATATATACGTAACAGTTTTTGTTTATTAAATATAAAAAAGGGGCTAAGTCTAATTTATACGTATACCTCCTATATTAAAATTAAACCACTACATAAAAAAAACTTCGCGGGGAGGGTTTTTGTTTATTAAATGTAAAAAAGGGATTAAGTTTAATTTATACGCATACCTCCTATATTAAAATTAAACCACTACATAAAAAAAAAAACTTCGCGGGGAGTGCATAACCACCGGCTCCCTATTTTCACCTTAATTGAATGACAATTATATATTTTTGAGTAGAATAATATAAATAATATAATTTTATTTTTACCATTTTAAGTGGTATTTTTAGTTTTTTTCCCTCAATTTTGTTCTTGTACTAATCATCATCATCACTGATGAATATATTATTGTGTTAAAACAAAACGTTTATCTTAATAAAGTCTCCAATTTTGTATAAAAGGTAGTGCTACCGCCGCAACATACCAGATTCTCGGTAACCCCCCGCCCCAACACGCGCGCGCGCACACAAATACCAAATTCTCTAACAAAGCTAAACATCACGTAGAAAGTACCATAAAATGTTGTTCATTACTTGCGCCTTTTTTTTTTTTGGTAGTCCAATACTTGAGCTTGCTCTTCACGTCATATGATCATATATTACGCAAGAAAGAAGAATGCCCTTCCTATTACCTCTTCACCATCTTCTCCTTGTGTTCATCTGGATTCCGTTCATTTCACCGATTTAAGTTTAGAATTCGAGTTTTGTTACAGTAAAAATCTCTCAGAAATAATCACATCTAACTTTTTTACTACAGTAAAAGGCTCTTATATAAAATTACATCTCAACTCGAATCAGTGAACTAAATTGGCTCCTGAAGTATAACTTGCCCCAAAAATACTGGCATATTTTCAAACAATTAGCCATAGAAGAAAAGAAATGATGATTTCTCATCTTCGAATCCTAATAGGATGTCGTACTAGGCTTTTATAGGCACTGTTCATTGAACTTAGGGATATTAGAGAAATGTGTTTTTAGTGACATGCAGCCCCACTCTAAACACCACTAGATTCGCCACTAGAAATGTGTTTTAGAGAAATGAGTATATTCAAATGACGATATGATATGAGTAAATAACTAGACTTTAAAAAGTGTCACCCAACCTAATTGGTCTCCAACGCCAACCAAGTTGCATAGCAAATCTTCCCGAGTACGGTTAATCGTGTTTAGAATTGATTATGTTTTTATTTTTCACGTTTTTTGAGAAAAGAAATGAAAATGTTTTCAAAACGGCGTTTGGCGCAATAAAGACAAAAAACGGAAATGAAAACGATTTTTTAATTTAACGTAAAATAAGAGAGAAATGAAAAATTACTTTTAGTCGTTTTTCATTTTTTGTTTTCGTTTTCTCTTTTCTAGAATAGAGAGAGAGACATTAATGAGTTTTTTATACTGAAAACAATCTCTTAATAAAACTACCAAACCCATTTTTAAAAATAATTTCTGTCTGAGATTAAAAACGTTTTTATTTTCCTTTACATATAAAAAATAAAATTATTTTAAAACGAGTTCTAAACACGCCCGTATTATCTAAAGACTAGCACGTAGGGCATCAATCTACGTGTATGTCAAAGGAGGAGCACACATTTTAAGTTCCCTCCAGCTTTATTTGTACAAGAAACTGAGAATCAATGTCTGACTAATAATTCATGGCAACCCTTACTACTTAAAAAAAGAGACAAATACCACTTAAAATGTATGACTAAATTTTTTTCTTTTAATCTTGATTAAATCTTTTAATTAAATATTTATATTAATCAAAAAGTATTAATTAAGAGTAAAGAACCAAATCCACACCCATGTGCATTTAAGGGTAAATTAAATAATTTTTTTACTTAAATCACTGTACACAGAAAAGAAGATTGAGAACTGTCAAACTCATTGTGGTCCACAAAGGGTCAGTTCTATTAAAGATAAAAGAAAATTCCTACAAAATATGTTAATGTGTTGCATAGAAAGCTACAAATCTTGTTGTACACCTTGAGATTTACCACCTTCTCGGGTTTCAATCACTAGTTTGCTTGTAGCAATTAGCACATAAATACCGACATGAAATTACAGAAAGCTTGCTCAGAGACTAGATACAACATGCATCCACGAATAAAAGTCAAAGGGCAAAAGAGGAAATAGATAAGTTATTGTGCTTCTGTTTCCATTGCGTCCGTCCACTTCCATCTTGTTTCTCAGGCTTCTACCTCTTGCTCCGCAGGTTGAGTTTCATCCTTCTCCGCGTCGCCTTCCCCATCTCCATCTCCATCTTCATCTTCGTCCGCCTCATCAGCCAGTTTTGTAAGCTCTTCCTGGATCATGATCTTTATAGACGACTTTCTTGGCGTGAGATCTGTGTCGAATTGCTTAGCTGAAACTTGGCCAGATTTCAGTTAGACAACAGGAAGACAGTCCTATAACGGGCATTGAACTCTCTTGAGTGGATAATAAGGTTCTTAATCAAAATATCTATGTAATGATGACAAATAACATATAGGTAATTATCCTAGAGATTTTCCTAATATTTTTCAACCAGATGTCTGAAATGCGTCAAGCTTTGAATAAACACACAATTTCTCGAGAGGAACACGTATAAAGCTTGCAAAAGGTAAAAACTGGTAAAATTCAATATCAGAACTCCCAGAGAAGGAAAATGTTGGTAAAAAAGATTGCAAGGGAGAGAGCATACCAAGCTGTTTCAGAATGTCGGTAAAAGTAGCCTGCAAAATTGAGAAAGAAAACTCAGCTTAGCCGGAGAGCACAAAGAAACATAGCTTATGATAATCGACGAAAAAACCAGCATGAGCTGTGCATTTTCAGATCCCTTCAATGTAATTTATTGACTGTTGTCAAACAAAGTTAAATCCGATATTCACATTTCCACCTCGTTCCTATAGCTATCCTCTCCCCTCTATCATACGTAATTAGTTTATACAGAGCAACCTATTTGCTTCAGAGATGCCATCTTGTAGCAAATATGCCGTGTTTATTTTCATCTTCACGTTCATCACATAATTTCGTACAACCTCCTAGTTTAAATAGGATGTACATAACTGATAAGCAGTCCCCATAAAGATCATATGCATATTCCGATTTCTGGTTACATTATACATATTTGAAGGAACAGTAAGAAAAGTGATACATTAGCATGCTTGCGCATTCAGTTGCATTCCGTCTACTTTGGTGTCCGTACACGTGCAATTTTAATGAATTCTCCAGGTAACTTCACTCGATAATGAGTCAAGAGCAAATATGCCGTGTTTATTTTCATCTTCACGTTCATCACATAATTTCGTGCAACCTCCTAGTTTAAATAGGATGTACATAACTGATAAGCAGTCCCCATAAAGATCATATGCATATTCCGATTTCTTGTTACATTATACATATTTTAAGGAACAGTAAGAAAAGTGATACATTAGCATGCTTGCACATTCAGTTGCATTCCGTCTACTTTGGTGACCGTACACGTGCAATTTTAATGAATTCTCCAGGTAACTTCACTCGATAATGAGTCAAGATGGTAATAGAGAAAAACATTATAGTAGAACATTTATGCAAATCATATGGTCTAAAATCATAGCACCTGAACTACGTCTCTGAAACTTGAGCAACTAGATATATTAGAGGACGTTTGGTTGATGGATTCATAATTATGATTCAGAACCATTCTCGATTTACGTGTGTTTTTTGTGAGAGAAAACACTGTAGAGAGTCACGAACCATGATTCGAACCATGGCACAAATCCTTGAACCAAACGCACTCTTAATCTTACGCAGGACCAATTATCTAATATCCATGGTCAGCAGTTATGCTATAAACACTTACCGTATTGAAGTCAACTTCTTTAAGAATTTCACATATAGCATCTCTCAACTCATCATCAGTTGGCTTGGATTTCTCCTTTTTACTCTTCTCCTTCCCCTTGGCAGTCCTTTTCCCTTCAAAAACAAAAAACCTTTTAGTATGGTTTTTATGGTCTTGAGAAGAATAAGAAATTATGAAGTAAATATACAAGCCCCTTTTATTTTACTTAAAAAAGACAGGGAGCAACTTTCTCAAAAAAGAATATCTATATATAGGCTATAGAAAATTGTCAAATATCATAGGAAATCTTGAGAGCATAGAGGTATATTTCACAAACTTAAAAGAGAAAAGAAGATGCCACAAAAGTAAACACAAAAAGGGAAAAAAAATACAAAGGGAAAATAGGTGGCAATTTTCCTGTACCAGTTTTCTCCTTGGAGGCGGCTTTTGCTGGAGTAGAGGCCTTTGCCACTTTTTCACTTGTTTTCTTCCTTGAGAATACTTTTGGACTTGTATCACTACCATCATCGCCCTTAGAACGTTTAGACGCAGATTTCTTTGGTGTTCTTTTAGGTGGGGGACTAGATTTAGGTGAAACTGTGGTTCTCTTGGTTTTAGCTTTTCCAGCAGATTCCTTCTTCTGAGAAGCTTTTTTGGAACTTCGTCTACGTTTTTCCACCTCTTCTTCAGATTCATCTTCTGAATCACTTTTCTCTTCACTTTCAGATTTCTCAGGCAGCTCATCTTCAGATTTGTCCGGAACACCATTTTCATTTTCCTCCTCATTTTCTTCATCTTCTTCTTTGTCTTCTTCTTCTTCTTCTTCTTCTTCTGATGACTCATCTTCTGTATCAGTTGTATTCTTTTTCTCCTCCGCTTTTGAATCATCCTCATTCTTTATTCGATTCTAGAAATTGCCAAATAAGTTAAAATATCATCTGTAGACAGAGTGAAGCATTTGAAACCGTAAGATTTTGTCCAGTTTGTGTTCTCCGTTTTTTCCACCTATTTCACTCACTTGATTATAACTCTCTTAGATATCTTTCCTCTGGAAGCAGAACTGGACAAGTCTCTCGGCAAATCTATCAGATATACATGTACTTAACTAACTGCTAATATGTTTAGGCTACTCTTCTAAATTGTAGGGAAACACCGAATTGCAAGATGAAAATGAGCAATAAAAAAAAGGGTACACTTCTAGGGACATGATCTACATTCTTATACAAATCTAACAACACAGTTCAACTCAGAATTTTATCAACAGTGTTATGATACTGCTATCGAACTGAGATTAAAAACAAAAAAGCTACGATGTGTTAATCACGCTAGAAAATAACACCTTGACTGAGCGTTTTGTAGTGCCCCCTGATGCTGATGAGCTTCCTTTGGCTGCTCTCTTACGCTTTTTCCCTTTATTTGACTACAAAAATAAAATAAAATCTTTTAGATGCTACGAAAGAGAGAAATTTCTAATGGTAGAAATTTTGAATTATTGTACTTGTTGTCTAGCTAATTTGCAATTAGGTTGGCAAACCTTCTCCTTTTCTGCAAGTAGCACTGCTGTTGTAGCATAAGGGGCCACCAAGAAGTCAATCAGCTTCGAAACAATATCTTCCTGCACATGTATTTTCATGTCACTAAAGCAGCTTCATTTTTAACTTAGTTGTATCATTGTTGGTATCCAAAATTTAGATCAAAAATCATTCTGACACCTAAATCTGCTTCAACCCCATCAACATAAAAGTATGGCCCTTCACCTTTTGTTCTTTATTATTTTTCTCTTGCACGTGTTTCTGTTTTTTGAAGATGAAGTGACGAATCATTTGAACAGTCCTTTGACTTGTTCCATGCAAATCTATGACCATCATCTCATGTTTCTGTTTTTCAAAGCTGGAGCAATGGAACTTGAACAGTGCCAATGATCCATCTAGTCCTAGTCTCCTGATCTATATGATCTTGCACAGAAATGGGCATCATCACATCACAGACAACTACAGCATCACATAAATCTATGACCCAACATGCGTGGATGTTTCTGAACTCACCAAGTAGAAAGCTCCCACAAACCAAAAGGTTGTCGTTTCATAAATGAAGAGATTATACTAATACTAATAACTACCACAACTAAATGGGCACCAAACCAACTCATGTTCTCAAACAAGAAGAAACATTCTAGAAAAAGCATGTGGTTAAAATTGTGTATCAACAAACCTTTCGGGTAGTAGCCTTGGCAATCGGTATGTCCAGAACATCACAGAATTCCAATAACTTCTCTTTGTTACATTTATCAAACTTTTCTTTAACTTTAATCTTTTGCTTCTCCTGCAACAATGGTAACATGTGAATGTTAGAAGCCCAAAGAGGTCAAGATCTCACTTCCTCACTATCATAAGTTGAAGAAACACACAAATAGTTAATGACAGCAACAGAAGAAAAGTTTCTCAATGTACTCCAACAGGCCATATAAACATAATTAACATGCAATGAATGCAACAATCATATATTATTCTTCTGTTTCCTTACCTCATTTTCATGCCACACAAAACCGGAAAACCGGGAAATATTGCTCTTGATCTGAAATGCCTGCAAAATAAAAGTACGGAAATGAGATTAAAAAAAAAAGACTGACACCAAACAACAGTAGCTGGAGAATGCCAACATTTAGAATCCTGAAAGCATTTAATGTATACAGTGTTTGAGTAGAAAGGTTTGCTTTCTGACGCAACATATTACCAACAAGTGGTGCCACAAAGAAAAGAAAAGCAGCACGAACAAACAAGGAATTCAATACCTTTCCTCTTCTTCCAAAGAGAATTGTATGCAATAATTTGAAGGTGTCATCTGTTTTCCTCCTTGATAATTTAAAAGCCACTGTAGGATAAAATGTATTCAAAGATCAATTATCCATATTTAGAGATCATTTTTCAACCCTAGATCAACTTAGATCATAAAGCAAGCATACGGAATGTCGAGGGAAAAGAGACATGATAAAGGCCTACTCAATCCACAGACCTAGCACTCAGAGAAGGAAAAGGGGGAAAAAAATAATTAGTGACAAACAAGGAACAATAAGGGGAATTAGTTCACCTACTCGCTTCCTAATTTGAGAATAACATATCTGCCTGAATCAAAATCATCCCTCAAAACATTATCTACAAATGAGATTCATGAACAAGATTACAGAGAGAAGGATGAAATTGAATGCAGGAACCTCGTACCGTTGGGTATGTCTTTCAGTGGTGTACCCCGGCCCTGAAATTGAAAAAAAAATTAAAAAATTAAAAAGTATAAACTAAAATATCGTCTAAGAACACATGACGGCGTTCTATTACCAAAAGCAAATGAAGAAAGAACACCTTTTCAATGTGGAATTCCTTGTGAGATTCTTTTTCGACAGTTGCCACCAGCCTTTCAACTGATTTCCGCTCCCGTTGAGGGCGATCAATTGCAGGAGTCCTTGGTTCTAGCTCCTTCTTTGTTTCTGATTCCTTCCTCTTCTCTTTGGTCTTCTCCCCACTCTTGCCTTTTCCACGCTTCTTTGACTCTTTCTCCTCCCCAGTGTCTTCAGCCTTCTCATCTTTCACTTTTTCTTCCTCCTTAAACCCATCGACCTTCTCACCCACCTCTTCCTTTGTTTCCACCTTTCCTTCAACCTCCTCTTCTTTATTTGGACCATTGTCTTCTTCCATAACCTCTACTTTGCCTTCCCCTATTTCTTCTTTTCCTTTTGCATCTTTGATTTCCTTCGCCTCAGTGTCTTCTTCCATTTTATCAAATTCAGCTTTATCATCATCCTTATTATCTTCCTCCATTTCCTTGGGGCCATCACTTTCCGCTGCTTTCTTCTTAGTCACATCATTGGCAGTTTTCTCCTTCGCGTCTGTCCCATTTGCAGCAGTCTCAGTTGCCTCAACCACTGTATCTTCCTCTCCCATTACTCAACAATCTCCAAGTAAGTTCTGAAATAGAAACTTCTTTTCCCTCAACTAATAATGCTGATCAGGTGAGGATAGCAAAAGGCTACATTATGTGGAAAAAGAAATAACTAGTTAAGAACTGAAGCCTATACCTTCAAATCTGTAAGCAGACTGTCATATAGGAAAGACAATTACTTCCCTTACAACTTCTAGGCCTCAAGCAAAGGAATATAAAGGAAAAGTGAACGCAAATTTATAATTGAATGCTGACACATTGATCTAAATATAATTGGTCCCATCAGTTGTGAAGGAAATTATTTCCCCGCAAATTTATTTTTCAAGACTGATGTGATTGCCTATTATGATATACTTCCACAAAACTGATAATGAAATTTTTAATGAGAAAAACTTATAAGTGTGTTCTTTTCATAGGTTTGAGTGGAAAACTTGAAATGAAATTCAAATTTTTGTGAGAGAAAACACTAGTAAAAAAGTTGAATTGTCATTTGAACCACCTATTAAAAGAACGGAGCCTAAGTAATTCTAGGGGTAGCCAAGCAATAACACCAGAAGGAAAGTTTCTTTCCTATCACGAGAATATTAAATAACTTCTACTTCGGGAAACAAATAGAGCAGAATGTCTAATTAAGCATGGAAAAAATAGCCGAATGAAATAGAAATACCCTAAACATGAACAAGTGGCTAAAGAAAAGTTAATCAATTTTAATTCCAAAACAGAAAGAAAGAGAAAAACTTAAGGAGAGAGGAAAAAAAAAAAGACATTAGATACACGAGTGTACAGAAGTGAAAACCCAAGAAGCCAAAATAAAGTCGGTAACTTTCAATAGTCCAGTTAATATAAAGAGAGTTTTGAAAAAAAAAATTTTAACTTTACATAAGAATCGGTTGGAGGTAACCAAAAAAAAAAAAAAAACACACACACACACACCATTGATTTTGGCAGCAAAGATAACAAGAGCAGAAGCAAAATTTAGCAAATTAACGTCTATATCGATTTAGTTTTCATTTCCACATATAAACCAGAGCTCGACCGACCAAAATCTCAGCCATTTCTCACACTTTTCAAAAATCAAAATTACAAAATTCTGTTTATTTTCCCACATTTTCCGAGGAAGCAAACAGACAGAGCTCAAAAATTCAGTTTTTAGGCAAAAAGTACATAAACTAGATAGAAATCCAGAATTTACAAGTTCCTTCCAGAATTCATTTAAAAACCCTATATTCGCACCAAATTCTCACACTACATCAGCCAAAACCTCAAAATTTGAATCTTTTAAAGCCTCCATATCGGCTTAATTTTCATTTCCATATGGAAACCTGAGCTTGCCGAACCAAAACTAAACGAAGCTCACTTTTCCCACACTTTTTCAGAAATCAAAATTACAATTTTTTCTTCATTTTCCCACATTTTCCGAGAAACCAAACCAGCTCAAAATTTTCCACTTTTACAAAAATAAATAAATAAATAAAGTGCATGAAATCCAGAATTTACAACTTCCTCAAAGAATTCATAACGAAACCCTAAAGCTCGCACTGAAATTCTCACAGTACATCAGCCCCAAAACTTCAAAATTCCGCCGAGAACATCTTTCCTAGTAATTAAAACAGAAAAAACACGAACAAATACACAATCTTGAAGAAGAAAAACTTACAGAGATTTGAAACGAAGGGATTTTCTCGGTGATTCGAAGCTTGAAAATGAAAGTCTTCTTCGTGTCTCACTCTCTCAGTGTTCTTCTCTCTCTCTTTCTCTCTCTACAATTTTTTTTTTTTTTGGCTTTTCCAAAATTTTAATTATTTTTATTCTATTTTATATTTATAGGACTGGAATATCGGAGCTGTAGATTTAGCGCGGACTTGAAATCCGGATTTTAAATACAGTTAAATGCCACGTCGGACGGCATTGTCAGAAGTGTAGGACGCGTTCGAGGATCGGGAAGTCAACGGACGGTTCAGATTGTGTCGGTGACGGTACTAACGAATCGACGGCTGTCGTTCGATGTTCGTTTAAAATGGAGAAAGCATCTCCTTCGTTTTGGGCCTAGGCCCACTGAAACAGTTGTGAAGTAATGAACTTTTTTTTCTTTTAAAAAAAAAATAAATATAAGGATTAATTAAAAAATTTCATCTAAATTGTACCCAAAATAACTGAGATTGATTTACTTAGGGCTCTTTTATTTTATTAATTTGAGTTTTTAATTTGAATTGAGATGTGACTTAATTTAAAAATTTTTTACTGTAATAAAAAAATTAAATGTGACTCTTTCTGAGAACTTTTTACTATAATAAAACTCAAATTTTAAAATCGAATCGGCGAAATGAATGGTCTTAATTTAAACAAAATATCAATAATGGCTGCAAAACTTGATATCCAAACGATTACGACCTCATTTGTCGCCTTTGGCAACCCTCGTCGTTCTCCACCTCCGTCATTAGCACTAAGTGGCGCCACTTACGTCGGGCATGCTCATGTTAGCAGCAGCGGATGATGGGACATGGAAGTGCCAGAGGCTGCCGATGGCGTTGACCAAATACTTCTTGCGAAGGAACTACTAGGAGAAGGTCTTGAAAGGGTTTCATGTGTTTCGGCTAACTTGTAACAATTACTAAAGATTTTTTAGAATGTATACTCAAACTCAAATCATGATTCTGCTACAGTATTTGTTATTTTATAAAGAGTTTAAATTTTAAAATTTTCTCTCTCATAAAATTCCCGCTAATAAAGTCAAATGATAATTTGAGTATACCTTCTAAATGAACCATAAATCAATAACATAAATTATTACCATGATCTTATTAAGAAATCATTATCCACCGTTATTTTTTGAGACATCATTAATATTATTTTCATTATTTATTATTATCTTGCTTCTTGCATTAATTGGGAGTATGAGAGAGCTCTTAAAAACTCTGTCCTGGATAACAGTGACAAATAATTTGATTAAAAAAATAAAAAAGAACTCTAATGTTTATGTATCGCAAATGTTGATATATTTCTTAGTTATATCAAGAGTTTTATTGCTGTTAGTTGATTAGCTGATTTGGAAAGAGAAGATGGCCAATTAACCATCCCAATTCCCAATCCAAATAATGGGAAATCTCTAGCAAAAGACAGATGACAATTAAAATGGACTTTTTCAAGCATCTCATTTTCTTGAGACTCGATTTGGATCTGGGCTTTGTGTTGGGTCTCTCAACTAGGGCAATAAAAGCCCACTTTTGACTAAAAGTTCTGGCCTTTCTCTAACTTTCAAGCCCAAGCTAATAGGCATAATTAAAGTTGAAGAAGTAATTAACATCCTATCTCTGTCTCCTTAATAATGAAAGGCTGTTTGGGAGGTATACATAAACTCAACGTTCAGAATTATTTTCGTTTTATATATATTTTTTATGAGAAAAAAATACTGTAGTGAATCACGAATTATGATTTGAATTATGGCACGAATCCTCCTTCTAAACGTCCCCTTAATTCTGACTTTTAAAATTTAAGTTTTATATGAGAGTTTTCCACTGTAGTATAATTAATAATTTGAGTTTAAGTATATAAAACGAACAACTCCTAAGGGTTCATGAATTTAAATCATGATTTATAATTCTAACTTTTAAAAATTTAAATTTTTATGAGAGAAAAATACTGTAGCAAAACTAATAACCATGGTTTGAACCATACAAACCCTCGAAATAAACGGAGTCTAAGTTTCTCGGGGTCGTTTCATTGCCAATCAACATTTTTTTAACGTTTTTTTAAGTTTTTATTTTTTTATTTTTTTTCCTCCCTTATCTTTTCGTTATTGCATCTTTTAACCTTTGACTTTTTATATATTTTCAAGTATATCTCCTTTAGATTCTTTTTACGGTTGTTTAAAATATTATTTTTTTAATTATCCTGTTAAATTAATTTATTTTTAAATATGTCCATATATAAACATCTTTTACATGTGATCCTTATTTTACAACTTCAATTGTGTAACATTTGACACCAAATTTTATCTCTGTCTTTTGCTTCAAATTTTTTCTCACTTTTGTCTTTGCTTCTTTATCTTTTTTTTTTCGTCCCCCCACTATTTGTATAACCGTTTTAAATGGTTGTTTCAAATGAAATTGCAGCCATAATTCTAACTCTAATTATGTTAACAAGAAAAAACAACTCTAATAGAAGTATTGATTCCAACACACGAACCCAACAAAACAATTAATATTAGTTGCCATTGCATACTTATTCTAGTCATTAATATTATCGATGTCACTGCAAGTGCAACCAAGTATTACCTTAACACTTACCAAAAAAAAAACCAACATTACCTTAATGATCACTTCAAAAAAAAAAAAAATATATATATATATATATATATTAATGCTCTCGTTTGGGCGTTAAACCATTTTCCACATGACAATGGCAGCACTATAGTGTGAGCCTCCTTTGGTCTTTTGTTGGTGGATTCGTGTGATGGTTCGAATCATGATTCATGACTCGCTACAGTATTTTTTCTCACAAAAAACACACATAAATCAAGAATGGTTCTGAATCATGATTCTGAATCCATCAACCAAATATCTACTATTTTCACCTAATAAAGCACTAGTCATGTCCAGATCATTATTTCCTTTTATTTCAAAAAAAAAAAAATTCCTTGATTAACCTTAAGGTGCTCTTATAAAGAGTGTTATTATGATAAACAATGTCTAAATTAACCTTAAGGTGCTCTTATAAAGAGTGTTATTATGATAAACTATGTCTAATTCTTGTTTTTCTTTTTTCATAGAGTGAGAAATCATAAGTATATCATATGCATACTGTAAATCATCAGATCAGACCAACTTGATTGTTTTTAGATCATTAATTTAGTTCCACATCAGAATCATTTTTTGAAGGTCGGAGACCAGTCCAAACTTTTTTTAAAAAATGGTTTGGTCCAATCCGTGAAATTTGAACTGCAAGGATTTTTTTAGAATATATATATTTTTTAAAGATTTAGTAATATAAAATTATACACATAAAAAGATATCTTATTTCTTCAAAGTTTTCAACCTTGTTTAAACAACTTAAAAATATCAAAAATAGAAAAATAGAAAAAATAATACAAAATCCCCTTAATAAATTAAACGAATTAACTAGATTGTACTTATTTTGGTAAAAAAACTGAACTCAATCATAAAATTCACATGGCAGTTTAAATCATAATAGACCATTTTGTAATTGTCCAATTTGCTTATGAATTTTTTGTTTTCAAACCATCAAAATGATACAGTTTGCAAAATCTGGCAATTTGGGACCCAATAAGACCTTGCACGACCCACTATCACGGAGTGACAGATTTAGTGATTTAGGCTTCGTTCATTTCACCGATTCGAGTTTTTAATTTTAAGTTTCTATAGTAAAAAATTCTCAGAAAATGTCACATCTAACTTTTTCTGCTACAGTAAAAAGCTCTCAGAAAATTTCACATCTCAACTCAAATTGAAAACTCGAATCTGCGAAGTAAACGAGTCCTTAGAATTGAAAGAAATCATGCACACCCCACTATCCCAAATACATTACGGTGATTGAAGGGGCGATCTATTTCTTATCTTTATATTCTATTATAAAATCTATTTTTGGAGAAAAGAAAAATCTATAATCTATTATAACATCTATTTTTGAAGGGGGGGGAAAAAATCTAAGCCTAGTTTTCTAGTGATAATGCTTGAAATAAACAAGAAATGAGCATATAACTACAAAGTCCAAACACATTTCCTTTTCTGTAGGGGTCTAACTATAGTAGTGCGAAATGGAGGGCACTTCCAAAAGTTGGAAGACGTCGTTTTCTTTTCTTTTTTTTTTTTTTTTGTGTGGCAAGTTCATAGATGTTATTTTCCTTTTACAACTAAAAGAAACAAAAAGAAAGAAGAAATTGGTGGCACGGTCAAAAATCAGATGAAGGCTTGATTCACATTGACAAAGACCCTTCGCTGATTGGCTCATTGTAAATTATAAATGTTTGGTTTGAGGATTCAAACCATGATTTGAATCATGGTTCATAATTCGTTACAATATTTTCTCTCACAAAAAATACACGTAAATAAAAAATTATTATCCATGAACCAAACGTTCTAGGGTCAGATCCTGGATTTGGCTTCTTAAAAGAGTTGGTGCAAATTTTGATTTGAAAAAATGAATATTTATGAAATTAAGATACATACATATATATATTGCTAAAGAGAAATTAAGATAATTAATTATGGGCTTATCCTTACTGATTACTAAAAAAAATCAAGGAAACATGATCATACTTTTTTCATACCTCATTTCACGCAGAAAATTTCTCAACTTTGTAAAAGAAAAAAGGAGTTAGCTGAGCAATTTTAGAATCACATAAAGAAGATAAAAGAATCCCAGAAATGAAAAAAAAAAAACCTAAACATTAGCTTAGCTTATAACATCAGAGTTACACATAACAAAACTTGGAAAAAAAAATTAAAAAAATTATTGACCTCTTGATCCTTGACGATTTTCACTAACTCATGCCTCAATCTCAAACCCTGGACACTTAATGGACCCCACTGAGATGTCAATTTCAATCAGATTGTCTTCCTCATTCATCTCATTGATATCTGCTAGAAGCTCCATGAGGCCCTTTTGGCTGAAAATGGATTCTGGCAAGAAATTTGGCAAATTTGGCTCATCTTCTAAACCACTTGACTCACTTCCTGGCAAGCTTATCTCAATCAAATTTCCATCTTCTTCTTCAGAAAATGATGACTCGGAAATTGTTAGATTTTGCCATTTGAGCTCAAAACTCTCACTTGATTCTGAGACAATATCATCACTTTCTGATGGAGTTTCTTCTAATTCGTTTGTATAATCATGGTTTTTGACATTTTTGCTTTCTTGGGCAATCTCATTTTCTTCCAAAATTTGCTTCTTTAGTTCATTATCTAGAGGGATATTTTGGCTACAATGTAATTTCCCAGATGGATTTTCATCTGAAAAAGGCTTCTTCTTTATGGATGTGAAGAGGAAAATGGTTGATAGGATCAAAATTGGAAAAGAAACGAGGAGAGAGAAGAGTACTCCAAAGCCTAGTAGAAAGCAAGAAAAACATAATAGAGAGGAAAAAAATAGTCCTAGAAATAGTAATGAGAGCTTGGAAAATAACTGATTCCTTGGTGTTTTTCCCATGAGAACAAACTGAAGAAATGGCATTAGATATGGTAGAAAGACTAGAAGAAGAAGAAGAAGATAATGGTGAATCTGGTAAAAAGCTCTCTTTTGGTGTACAAAAAAGAGACTTTTTATAGAGGGGGCCAAAAAAAAAAAAGTTCTGACCTTTTTTTCCACAAGCCACTGATTTTGTTGATCTGAGATATCAAAGAAAGAAAGAAACCTGCCAAAAACAAAGATGTTATATGGGGTTAATGTACTGAATATGAAGAAAAATAATGAAAGTGAAAGAGAAAATTTTTATTAGTTTCCTTACCTGATCTGAGAAAGTTTCACTTTGTTTAGTTGATAACAATATGACTTTCCAAGACTTTGGAGATTGAATATTCTCCAAGCCCCATTTACCAACCTCGTGACCCTTTTTTTTTTTTTTTTTTTTTTTTTTTTGGCCCCTTAAGAGGAAAAGTGAAGGAAAAAAAAAGGCCTTAACTTGGTCTTCTGTTTTCTCTTACACCAAACACCTTGTTCTTATCTGCAGCTGATTGATTCTCTTGAGAAAAGCAAAGGTCTTCTTCTTGTAATTGTTTTCCCATTTTATCATTTCATTTTCTTCTTCAGGAAATCAAAGCTTTGGAATTGCCAAATACCATGTGCACCACATCTCTGCTCCCCACATGGCACTTTTAAGACCCTTTAGAACATAACCCATTAACAAAAATCTATTCTATTTTTTTTTCTTTTACTTAAAAAGGAGAAACTTTCTTGTGATTCACACACAATCTAAACAAACCCTAATCATTTTCTTAGAACACAAACATAATTAAGAACACACATGTTAATTGTATTAGTTGAAGGAATTAAAACAATTTATCTCTAACCAAAGTTCTGAATAGTTGAAGGTAAATGGGAGTTACCATAATTATTACCACATCTGCAATTTGTCAGCAACACCAAAATAACAAGAAATGCAGAGTGTTTGTCATAATGACCCATTTTCTATTGTCTGCTATGAATTCCATAAATGTGTAACGTTATTTTTTGCTTCATTTTTTGTTTTTTGTTTTTTGGCCTCTGAATTACATCCAGGTACTAAATGGAAGCCCATTTCCTTGAAGAGTCTTTTTTGTTTGGATTTGCCAGGTAGCCATTACTCCTTTGTTCTCACAAGCAAACAAAGCAAATTCAAAAAATAAAAAGGATTAATTTCAAAAATTTTCTTCAACTATGACCATTTTAATATTTTGTCCTTTTAATTTTAAAAAGTAACATCCATTCCTCTCAAATTTTATTCCGTTAATAAGCTTTCTCTTTCTGTTACAATAAGTGATAGAATTGTCACGTATCACTTATTTAGTGAGAATTAAAAATACAATTACACTTATACCCTTCTAATAAGAAAATGCCCAACAAAATACATTTGTAATATATTTCAGGTATGTATTGGTTTTGAAAAAAGAAAACCCTTATATTTGAGCTCATCAGTGATCTCCAACAGTCAAACGTGAGAACGCATGTGACCGTGCCACCACCAGAGACTCTTCCCCTGTGCGAGTGTCGTTGCGACAACCAAGTTCCTCCGTGGTTGGTTTTCATTTTTGTTTGTAATTTTTCTTTGAAGTTGGAATTTTTTGCTCTTTGGGGAGATGAATTGTGAACGTTTCTCTTCTGATACGATATTTTATTCCCCTTTTGCCTCTAATTCTAGGATGGGATGGGATGGGATGGAATGGGATTTCATAGGTTATTTTACAAAAATCAAAATGGGTTGCTTTGGAATGGAAATCTTAGCTCATTGGGTGGAAAATAATGGTTATTAATTTGGGTTATCATGTTGTTATAATTGTCTTACAGAATGCGAAGATGAGATTGTGGAAGGAGTAGATACAAGGTTATGTTTGAAACCCGAATTTTAGGGAGAAAAAGGAAAATAAAAATGGGGGAATGACTTTTCCGTGTTCGGAACCAAGATGAGGGGTTGAAAAAAAAATTATAAGAAAAAAGGGGAGAAATCTTATAACTTGCATGGATTTGGGATTTTATTCCCTTTTGTTGTTCAAGATCTAAATTTTCTTTCTTTAATAATTTGAAAGGTTATTGTAGATTAATTTATGATAATATCCTCTTTAGATGAGTTATGTACCTGATACGTGATGAATTCCGTTACTCATTATAATAAAAGGAAAAAATTATTAACATAATAAAGTTCAGACGAATCAGATATTTAAAGTGTTAAAAATGTCATAGGGAGAATTTTAAAAATTAATCCAAAAAGAAAAGAAAAAAAAAGGTCCGATTCATAATATATAAATTGCTTTGATACAAACCAAAGAATGATAACATGGGTTTGGAAATCTTTGTCCTTTAAGTAATGTGTAATCATTGCACATAATATGATCAAACGTAAAATATTGCCTTCTGTTTTCCCCTTTAGTAGTTTGGCGTTTTTTACTAAGGTTTTTGGTGGTAATTCGGCCGAAAAGATAAAAGCCTATTTGGTTTATTTATTGACTTGAATTTATAATTTTAATTATGCTTTTTTATAAAAAATTTAAATTAAAAAAATTCTGTCAATAAATTTTTTTTGATAAAATTTAAATTCATAATCAAAATTTGAGTCGGCCTAATTGTTTTGACAGCCTTAATTGTTTTGACAAAGTAATCTTTGCTTTTGAGACTTGAAAAACAAGGCACTGATCTAATCATTAGCTCGAGCATGTGTTGTAATAATCATGCACAAAAGCTTCCGGATTTAGGCATGCCATAACCATATCACCAAACAAGGAACATATGGACTTTGGATACTTTGACCCAGAAAGAAAGTTAATCTCCCTATATGGGATGAAGGGATTTGTTTTTTGGATTTTTTTTAAGGAAGATTTTTTTCTTTTAATTTAGGATGAGCTTTGGAATTTTACGTCTCAAGATTAAAGACCCGTTTGATATTGCTTTTAAAAACTATTTTTGGCTTTTTGTAAGAGGCTACAGCAAGTCAAAGTGTTTGATAAAACTTATTTTTGCCTAGCAATTTTTAAAAACGGCTACCTCACAATAGAATTTAAGAAGCATGTCAGGGGTTACTTTTTAAAATAATCCAAATAATAAAACTTAATTCTCAATCAATTCATTTTATTTCTTTGAAATCAAATTAAATGATACATTTTATTTTAAATGTTTATACAAAAATTAAAAATTTTTAATAAATATTTTATGTTAAATTTTAATAATATATTTTTGTTATAATGTTGCAAGTTTGAAAAATAATTTACCTCAGTTCTTTATGTTATTTAATTTCTTTATAGATATATAATTTATCTCCTTGAATAAAATTAATTTATTTTTTAGATATATTTTAATTAATAAAATAAAAATTATATTTTTTTACTATTTTGGCATATAAATATTATGAATATTGACTATAAAAATAGAAATAAAACTAATTATAAGTATGTGTGTTAAAGTATATCTATTTTAATCATTATATATTTTCACAGTAATTTTGTACATAATTTACCAAACACTTAAATGTTTACTTTAGTTATTCATAGCAACTTTGAAAAAAAATTTACCAAACGCCTATTCTGACTAACAACACATCAATAACAGAGCAATACTAAACTGTCGTTCAGTGTGTGTAAAATTACCGCTAAGCTATATATTTCCCAATATTTTCTTTTATGGTTACCGACTGTATTGTATACCCAATAAGGAATAACGTTTTTCACATCGCCGTCCATAAATCATCTTGTTTTTTCTACATTTTGCAATTAATTCGAAAGAACAAATGTGTTCTTCATCTTACCTTTTTTTTTCATGGTTGGCTTATTTTTTTTTAGATTCAATGATGAGTGAGTTTCTGCTCACGAATTAAGTATCATTTAGACTTAATAGTTCGTAGAGTTTACGTGTCAAATAATGAATATATAAAGTAATAAATAAAATGATAAAAAGAGTGATGCTAATATTTATTGTTCAAGAACTAGAAATTTTCAATTTGAAAAATATTTGGGTAATATTCAAACGACTTGTCGTTAGTCTCTAAAGTCTTTGTTATATCGTTATAATAGTCTATGTTACTATCTACGTGGACGACGCATGATTTCTTCATTCACCAAGAGTAGGTTGTTGGTTTATAAAACAATTTTAGATTAAAAAAAATGCAAAAACAAATTGGCACGGATCATAAATAAGAATTTTTTTTAAAAATTTTTAAGTAATATTTTATAGATTAAATTAATTTACACTAATTCAGAATAAACAATCATATTGCTTATCTTACCCGGTTGAAGGTAAAGTTTCAATCACAAAATAGCCATTTTATCTCTGTCTAAATATTTTTATCTCTTCTAAACATTTTTATCTCTGAACCTTTTCAAATACTTTCTTTATATATACCAAATGAATAATTTACTATATAATTTTTTTTCCCTTTAAACGTGCTCTACGAACTTTTTTTTTTTCTTTTTTACTAAACTCAACTAGTATTGGGAGAGTAATAAATAAGTTCAACTAAATATCAGAAGAAATTTTGTGTAAAAACAATTAGAAGAAAATTTAAGTTTTCATATAAAAAATGTAAGGTGCGTGTGCACGGAGCACGTGATCTATTTATATATGGCTTGTTTAGTTCGCTGATTCGAGTTTTTAATTCGAGTTGAGATGTGACTTTATGTGAGAGCTTTTTACTGTAGTAAAACTCGAATTTTAAACTCAAATCAGTGAAATGAACTCGTTTTGATTGAAAACCTTCCCGCAGCCTCTTTTTCTTTCTTTTTTTTTGCTACATTTTACTTTTTCGTCCTTTTTTTTGTCTTTTAGTCCCACATTTTTCCTTCTTTTTTCTTGCCTCTCCCTTTTTTAAAATTCTTTATTTTACTCCTTTTTTTTTTTCATTTTGGTCCTTTTTGACTTTTTTCTTTCCTTCCCTAAAACTTCATTTTTTTTTTCCATCTTGGTTCCTTTTTAGATTTCATATTCAAATTTATATGCTTTTAAATGTGTCTCACTTCTAAAAATATGTTTTGGGAAAAGATTTATTGTGACGTGCATTTCTCCATCTATACTTTAATTTGATTCTATTGGGTGACTTTAAAATGCGATTTTCACTTACTTTGCTCATATTAACATAATTTCTGTCATATGTACTCATGCTTAATTTTTTTAACTTTTATTTTCATTTTACCAAAAGATTCTTTACAATGTGATCTTTTTATAACGCATTTGTTTAATTTTTTTTTAATTGAATGACAATTGAAATATATTTTTTTATGTGTCTTTATTTAATTTTTTCTTGTGTAATCCTTATTATTTTAATGATGATATTTATAAAGATGTTTGTATTAGTTGTGTATAGACTAACTAACTAATTAAGATATTTCTTATTAAATGAATTAATTAAAATAATAATACAATAACTAAAACTCAGAACACGTGGAGTTCAACTATTAAATTGCTTTTTGACCAACTCTTTTATGTTTACTATAAATAATATGATATGATTTTATTGATTAGATACTAATTAAAATATTAAAAATTAAACAGAAGATCTAGATATATATATATATATATATGTGTGTGTGTGTGTGTGTGTGTGTGTATGACAATAAGGAAAGCTCGCGGAGTATATTAACAAGTAGACATTTGTGATTTTACGAGGAAAAAAAGGGAATGGAAAAGAAATTGATATTAGAGGTAAACGACCAAAAAAATTAAAACAACAATGTACTTTTACAAAGAACTAATGGGTGCGTTTGGAACTCGTTTTAAAATAATTTTATTTTTTGTATGAAAATAGAAATGAAAATGTGTTCAATCTCAAACAGAAATTATTTTTGAAAATGTATTTCGTAGTTTTATCAAGATATTATTTTCAGTATAAAAAAACTCATTAATGTGTCTCTCTCTACTTGAGAGAGGAGAAAACGAAAATAAAAAGTGAAAAACGACTAAGAGTCATTTTTCTTTTCTCTCACATTTTACACAAAACTAAAAAATCGTTTTTATTTCTGTTTTTTATATTTAATTGTGTCAAACGCCGTTTTAGAATCATTTTCATTTTTTATTTCTCAAAAAATGTGAAAAATAAAAACAAGAACAATTCTAAACACGACAAGTAAATTTGATGTGTAGAAATTCCCAGCCAAATTCTCTCCCGAAAAAAAAAGTGAAATCTTCAGCCAAACGGCTTTAACCGCCACATACAAACTATAAAAGGGCAACCTCTGCCCGAGAATTCCATTGGTTCTCTCTCTCTCTCTCTCTCTAGGTGTAGAGTAAAAGAAATTTCTCTCGATTCAAATTCTCTTTCCTGCGATTTCCTTAAGTAACGTTTCTTTCTATTACAATTTCTTCCGATTTCGATTTTAAGGATTCTGGATGGATTTTAGTCTATTTCTGCTGAATTAGGGTTTCATTATATTCTATGATTTATGATATATAGATGAAATTGTCTGTTATGTTGTTTCTACGTAAAAAAATTTATTTACTTTCTAGGGTTCGTAATAGCAAAATGGAAATGATTTTAAATTCAAGTGGTGGAGCCCATGTTTTGGACTCTATTATTCACAGGCTCATAAAAGATTTTAATTTCTGTTCAAATTTTCCGTTCAAACTTACGAATCAAACCCGGCCATATATGCTTCAACAAGGCCGAGTCTATCATGCGTTATCCGAGGACCAAGACCCGAGAATATGTTGCAGATTTTCGAGCCTGCTAAGCTGAAGGCAACTACTTTAAGGTGATGTTTGGTAGATGGATTCGTTCCCTGATTCGAATCATTGTTCGTGGTTCGCTACAGTATTTTCTCTCAAAAAAAATACACGTAAATCAAAAATAGTTCTAATCACATGGTTCTAATCTATGAACCAAACGCACCCTGTCTTTTCTTTGAGTAGGACTTAAACCTAGTCTAAGCACAGTTTTGAGTTTTGTATCATCTTACTTTGTATGGAGGTAATCTGTCTTATTTTATATGTACATGATCTAGTCTAGGGACAGTTTCCTATTAGCTTATATTTTAGACGGAGTAAAGCATAAACGTGTGTGTTTTGTGACTTTATTCTGCATTTTGTGAATGTGTGTTTTGTATACAAAGTCCACCAAGAATTGCTTATATCTGCTTTTTATATAACCTATTCAATATGCCATTTTTTTGCATGAGGCTATTGGCATTGAACTTTTTGTATAGCTATTTCCTTTTGTTTTTTTTTTGTTTTTTGTTTACCGCTTATAAGTTAAGCTTCGAAGTCAATTCAACAAGACAACTCAAACTCGGGTCTGTAATGCAAATACAAGATATTTTGTCCCATTCGTTTCGTTTGTTCGATCGAATCACAACTTAAATTTTTACTACAAAATTTTCTCTCATAAAAATATAAATTTAACTTTATGTGCTACAATATTTTCTTTCACATAAAATTTATTTTTTAAACTTAAACCAGCAAAATAAACAATCTATTTACGTCTTTGTCTTGTATTCCTCTTCACTAACAAAGTAGATATGTCCAGTGTCAACGTGTCAATTAAACTCTCTTAAAAGTTGAGAGATTTGGAATTTCTTTTTGCCAAAATGTTATGGCCTCCCACTCAAGTCTTTTTTGGTTTTTTTTTTTTCTCTTTTTTTTTTTTTGTGCCATCATGTTTTTTCGGTTTGTCTTAGAAATCTTGCTAGATGCAAATAACAACACGAAAAACCTGAGTTCACAACCATAAATGGTCAATGGCGGCCACATGATATTACATGGAAGCCACATCAATTTGGCCAGACGTTGAAACTCAGAAAATGATGTTATTTTCTCCATATAACTAGTTCTTGTGTTTTGGAATTTTTCATATTGTGATATAAGAGAATACAAATTTGGTTGTTACATGGTATCTAAACTATATTTATCTGCAGTCACATATGTTGGCAATGAGTTCGTTCCCTTTTTTCGCTGTATTGGCTAGTCTTCTTTTTCAATATCTAATAACTACGGTCTAACATTGGCCGAAGAAAAACTAATTATTCTTCTTTTTTTGTAGGATTTAACCTAGTCTAAGCACACTTTCGAATTATCTAATTTTAGTGTACCAGCCCTCTAAATATCAACTTTTAGATATTAGTAGAATGAATAGCACTATCAGTAGGGTTGTTCGACAGCTCGGTTTTGGTGGTCGATGAACAATCCGACGTCGGGTTCAATATTTTATTGGACCGACCATTAGGCCACATTAAGGGATAATCAGACTAACGTTGACTGATTTTGCTTGCTTTCGGGCGTTTAATTTTAAAAATAATAAACATTTTTAAGGGTTTGACAAAACGAGAGTTGTTACAAACTGACCTTAACCCTAAAAATGACCACAAACTCCACTGTTGTTGGCAATTTAATTTTTCAATTGATAGGAGTCAATGTTGATGTGGTACTATCCCGTTTGATCAACAACTATCGGCATCTTTGGTGCTAGCCGATTGACTAGCTAAATTGAATAGTATGGGAAAAAAAAATTTTAGGAAATTCTTTGGTACGTCTGGCATATCGGCAAGTCATGTTTTTTAACTGTTGAATCTGCGTATTTTTTGACTTTTGCATGATTCTATGTAGATCTGATGGACAAAAAACCTAACTTGTCGGTATGTTGACGTACTAGAAAAGGTTCTAAACTTATTGGACTTATCAATGTTTTTTTTTTTCCTTTTTTATTTTTGTTAAACAACTAAGCTAACAAATGTTGACAGTGGATTTCTTTTGTATTTCATTGTTATGTTTTCCATTTTATATGTCATCACGTTAGTAATTTTATACAAAGATTGAGACGTTTGAGAACGAGATATGTAATAATAATTAGAATAGGAGAAGAATACAAATAATATGCTTGTTCTCAACTGAGTGATGTCACACATCAAGGGATTTGAACAACCTCTTTAAGAAATAATTAAGATAATAAAAAAAAGAAAAAAGAAAAAAGCATCTCAAAGAATAAGCATCATAACTCATGAGTCCCACTTTTTTCGCATGCATTTTTCTAAAGAATGATTCAATAGTATATGTAAAAATAACACAACTTTTTAAAGAAGAACTGTTATTATTAAATTGAAACATCCAATATAATAACAATTTCTGGAGGTGGGGGAGATTCTTCTAACTAAATTAGCTTATCATTTAAATTAACACATAAGTAGTTAGAGTAAATAAAAAATGACATGAAGAAATGTGAAATTCTTTACGACTTGAATGATTATCAATGCATTCTCTCTACATGTTGGAAAAATAGATGAGCCGGTGTTAAGTTTATAGGTCACGTTCACTTCACGAATTAGAATTTTTAATTCAAGCGGAAATGTGACATTTTTTGATAGCTTTTCACTGTAACAGAAAAAGTTAGATGTGACATTTTCTGAGAGCTTTTTACTGTAGAAACCTAAAATTGAAAACTCGAATCGGTGAAATCAACAAGGCCATAGTTATTTCATATTACTAATTTTAGAGTCAACATTTTATTTTTCTGCAGAATTTTATTGGGATAACAAATTGTCTATTCATATATTAAAGAATAAAACATAATGAAAACTTCACAATTAAAACGGGCACATTATAATAGTTCTCAATTTTTTTTTTTTCACTTTACCGAAATTCTTAGGAAAAAAAAGAGGAGTTTGCCCTGATATTCCATACTATTCAATTTAAGCAAAATAGCATCAAAATAAAAAGAAATATGTAAACTTAATAAAAATTTATACAAATTTAACAGTTAAAAATAAAGAATCTCGGTTAAGATATTTTGTTTATACCCTATCATAATTTAAAATAAAAAAAAAACTTTTGCCTTTTTGCCAAAAACTCCAAAAAATGAAAGTTCACAAGGAAAGAAAAAAAAAAAAAAAAAAAAAAAACCTCCAAAATGCCAAGCATATCCTTCGTCCTCCTAAAGCAGAAGGGGTAGTTTCGGAACACAAGCCAAGATAAAAATAAATAAATAAATAAATAATTGAAAAGGGGGCGGGGCTTCTCTTCAGAGGATTCCTAGGGTTTCCAATTGCTTCCTATTTGGGACTTTATCGTAGGATTATTTATAGCACCACCAAGCTCTGCATTTTGCGATTCTCGTCGAAGAAAATCAACATTTTTGTTCTGTTAAGAAAAAAATCAACAGTTTTTGTTCTTGGGATTTGCGTCGTAGTGGTGGGTGACTGACTGATTGGGAGGTTGTTTCTCCGCCGTCGGATTGATCTCTATCAGGGGCTTTAGCGCCCGTGGCCGTTCAAAATCCATGATCATCAGCGTCTCATGGACCCATCTCCAGTGCGAACAACTCCTTCACTCGAAGAAGAAGAGGATGAGTGGGGTATGGAATTCGTCAACTTGCCATTTTTTTCTTCTTCTCATTTTTATATCCCTTGTTTGTTTTCGAGGAAAATTTTGGGGGAAATTTAGAGGAAGAGTAGAAAAGTTTGGATTTTTGTAGTTTTATGTTTGTGGGTCTTGAGTTAATCAGAAAAATTAGGTAAAATAAGTCAATTGGTCAAGTGGGTTCAGTTCAGTTCACTTGAGTTTTTATTTTTATTTTTTTTCCTGACTAGCTCGACTTTTCTCAGATTTTTTCAAACACCAAATTTGAGTATGATCGCATTATTGTTGTACACTAATTGTTTTGTCCTCATATTGTGTTAAGTTTGAAATTTATATGGATTTTGTTTTGTTGTTTTTGAATTCAAATTTTGTAGAGAACCCATTTGGCGAAAACTATTTTTATTCAAATTTTTTGTGAGATAACAGAATCAGGATCATAAATTCAAGTTCTAAAACCAAACGGGCCCTAGGATTGCTATTTGTCATACCCCGAGACCATTCAAGAATTGACATTAATTTAGGCGTGTGGACTTTTTTTGGGTTTTGAGTTGTCATGCACCGAAATCTGATTTTAAAATTTGAATACGGAGCAACGTTCTGAGTGTGCATATTTATATGAAGCGGTTTTCTAGTTTTTCAGCTTATTCATTTTGTTAAGTGAGTTCCAAGGAGTTGGCCTGTAAACCAAAAATGATAATGAGCTCCATTTTTTTTCAGTTACGGTAAAGATTTCATTTTTTTTTTTTTTTTTGTTGTTGTATATATATGTTCTTTTTAATTGTTACATGTATTTTGTATATTCTGATTTTTTTGTCGTTAATCTCAATATTGGATGATCATCAATAGTGTACCTCAGATTAGGCTATTTCTTGTGCAGCTTGGCGTTGTAAGCAGTAAATGTTGCATTTGTGATGCTTATTTTTCGTCAAGGCACTTTTAAATCCTAATGTCTTTTTGGCTTTGGCTTTATTGTTTTATATAATAAGAGGTTATTTAGGATATGATTCTTTTTGGGAAGTATTATTATTGGTTTAATTTCTTTCTCCCAGTGGCATCATAGAATTAACTGTACAGTGTCTTGTGTATATTATCTGTTGTTGTCTCAAGAAATTGTCATTGTGTTGGTGGAGGAGCGAGAACGATATTGATTTATGAGCTTAACTGTGATTTTCTTAATATATAATACCATTTGCTACACGTAAACTTTTTATCATGAATATATTTTATTGAGTACGTAATTGTTTAGTTTCTTTTCGTGAGAGGAGGCTTTGTTTTACATCTGCCTAACATGATCTTTATCCTGACCAATTTAATGTAATTCCTTCATCGTACTGACATCAACAAATGGCTCTTTTTTTACAATAGACACTGATGGATTTGTAATTCCAAGCTTGGGAATAGAAGAGCCAGATCAAACCAATCCTGATGCTCCAAAAGTAGAACCCTCAAAACCACCTTCTCCGAAGGTCAGCTTCAAGTTTTTTCATTTTCATTCTGAAACTACTACTTGTACTACTCTTGTGACTCTGTGAATGTGAATGAAGAAGCAGTTGCTGAAATCTGTGTTAAAGGCGTCTTTGCAGGCCAAAATAGAAGAGAGCATCTACCTTGGACCGCACGGGGCTCCCCCGTCTCAGTCGAAGCAGCAAGAAGTGACTTCTTCGAGCCGTAAGCAGCGGTTCAAGCAGAAACTGAAGGAGGCAGATAGGAGGATTAGCGGGGTGGGGCGAGAGAACAAGGTAGAGAATCTAAGAGAGCTTGTTGGTGGTGGGAAAGTTGGCAGTGGTAGCATGGCAAAGGGCACTTCCAGGGATTGGCTTGACCAGCATTGCCATGAGGCCAAGTTTGAGAAGTGGTACCAGCAGTGAGTGGAACAGAGTATTTTTACATTACCCTAAGATATAAGGTTTAAGTTTATTACTCATAAGGTTCAAATTTGAGACATTTATTAAGGTCATGTATCTTGACAATAAGTTTCCATCTGGACCTTTTTGTACCCACTGGTGTCGCTGAAGTTATGAGAAAGAGTTTGGCTGTTTTATCCAACTATTCCATTTTCCACAAGCATTGCAAATTTTATAATTTCTCATTATCCATAAAAGAAGGAAAAAGAAGGCATCATTTATTCCTGCTATTTCTAGTATTGAACAAGAAAAGGATGTAAAGTAAACAATAATTTAACCATAAAATGTTAGAGCTCAAGTGTCTCAAAGTTGTAATTCTCTAATGAGCTTCCTATCCTAAATAAGAATAATGGTATTTGCTTTTGGTAGCCAAAAGCGAGTTTAATCTTTTGGCAAAGTGTGAGAAAAGAGTCAAAATACAACATGTCAAGATTTCAAATTATTCTAATGGTGGAAAGAGTGGCATCCAATTAATTGATGCCAAGGAACTCCAATCCAGTTGCCTTGGGCGTCAAACCAAACTGAGACAGATAATCAGCACTGTGAAACTTGCTCAAATGCCTCATTCCACTGTCGCATAATATGGTTACAATCGTGTGACCTGGACCAATTGCCTGCGCCACGCGGACTGCTCCAACGCAGTTCATCGCTGAAGAACTCCCCAGAAAAAGACCGTCATTCTTCAAGAGGAACCTAAGAGAAAGTTTAAGCACAAAACCATGAGGAACGAGTGTCACCATCGAACAAAGTGAAATTGGAAATTTCTGTTGATTAGCATAATCATTCAATACCAGCAAGGAACAGTGAAAACAAATCAAAGATTAGAGAGGATCAAGGACTGACCTTGACATCTCAACAGCTTCCATATCCGTGCCTCGGAAAGCCCCATCAAGTTTTGCCTGCATAAAATTCTGAGTTATCCGATTGATTCCAATTCCTTCGGTTATTGTATCAAACGGATTCTTCAGCCTTCGTCCTTCTGCTTCCTGTTTAGTATACATCACTCCCCTCGTCACCTTGTTGAACAAACCAGAACCGGGAGGATCTATGAGGTAGCACTTGATGTTTGGATTCTTTTCCTGTTTAACACGAAACCAGATTTTTCATAAATCAACTTTTGCCTCAACATCAACGATAACAATGGTCTGTAAATGGAGAAAGCAGCATACTTGCAGAAACTTGGAAACACCAGCCACAGTACCACCAGTTCCTGCTGCAGCCACAAATGCATCTAAGTTTCCTCTAGTCTGTTCCCAAATCTCAGGCCCGGTGCCTTCATAGTGGGCGTGGAAGTTTGCTAGATTTTCAAACTGATCAGCAAAGAAACCACCTTTGCAATTCATCGACCGAGATGAACTATGTTTCTCTCCATTGGGTACGTAACCATTGAGTTGCTCTGCTTCTTTGCCATCTATTTGTTCGGATATTTTATCCTTTGCTGCTAGTTCATTTGCTTCTGAAGCCCGTCGTCTAGCAATATTGACATAGTGGTCTCGGTGCGTAATTGAAACCGGTCTAACCCTTTCAACAGTGGCTCCCAAGGCTTCAATAATTTGAGACTAGAAAGAGATTGGCAAGAAAAAACAACATTCAGTGCATTGTGAAACACTCGAAAGAACAAAAACCAAAAACAAAGCTAAATTAAAGGCAATAAGGCAAAGATAAAACTGCCCAGGAAGGAAATATATCTTCTAACTGAACTGTACTAATCTGAAATGCATTCTCGTATACCTTCTCAATGGCGACGTCATCTGGGATAACCACATGGCACTTGCAACCATAGGCGGGAGCAACCGTAGCAAGGCTAATGGCCGTACTTCCGGCACTCCCCTCCGTCACTACGCCACCGGGAGTAAGCTTTCCAGATTCCAAAGCCTGCATTAATCCACATATCAGAAATATATCAAAGATAACAAACGGTCATGGTCGTTGTTCAATGACTGACTAAAAGCAAAAGACCAACACTAGGTAGAGGAATGAAACCTAAAGTTTAAGTTCAAACACACAACTTTGATGTCACAGATTGTAAAATACCACATCAGAGATACAAAATAAAATGGACAATACAGTGAAAGAAACACTATGGCCCCCCGTTGGGAGGTATATTCAAACTATAATTCTCAATTTTGACGTTTGAAATTTAAATGTTTTTTGAGACAAAAACATAGCAGAATCAATAATTTAAATTTGAATATATGAAATACGTGGGCATGTAAAATCAATTGATTACTTTCTTAAGCTTTGGTTACTACTTAAAAAATAATTAAAAAAAAAGGTTTGATCAAGAGGAAAAAAGAAAGATTGAAATTTGGTATAAAAATTGGTGCCAAAATAATCAACTAAGCAAACTTGAGCAATCAGTTAAATGATTTCACTTGCACAAAAATTTTCTCAACAACCAAACAAAGCAAGTCATATGATTACCTCTTCTATAATTTTCACTGCAACTCTGTCTTTTACACTCCCCCCAGGATTCAAAAACTCACACTTCCCAAGAATCTGATCAAACCACAATAAAATCAGAAAATCAATTAGTCCACCACAAAAAACAATCAAAAATCCAAAAGAAACCAAATTTGATAAAACAAAAATCGATGAATTCGAAGAATTACCTCACAACCGGTGGCGTCGGAGAGGCTGTTGATGCGTATCAGAGGAGTGTTGCCGACAGCGCCGACAAGGCCTTGCCTCGATTTCTTCTTTGATTCGGAAAGTTTGGGGCTTTTGGAGGAAGAAGATTTGGACTTTAGGTTGTTGAAGAAGAGAGAGAGGACGACGACGGAGACGGCGGCGACGAGAGCGTCTGTGGTTCTCACCGCCGCCATTGCAGGCTAAAGGTTCAGAGTTCCCAGATCTAGAGGTGTAGGCGGTAAATTTGATTGTGTTTTGGGGGCTTATATGTAAAAACAGTTTTTTAAAGTTTGAGATTGTGGGTCGGACTGGGAGTTCCTTAGAAAGGCCCATGAACTTGGCCCACTTTGGGTATAAACAGAGAGAAATTTGGGTGGATTATTGGACGATTATGATATGAGATAATTGATATTCAAATGTACTATTTTGATTTGTGTTTAATTTAGGTATGAAAATGGTGCGAGTAAATAAATAGGTTTTATAAGTGGTATTAAACCTTATTTACATAGAAAAATTTAGAAATAACTGAGAGAAAAATCTTGAGAAATGCATCAAAAATCACTAAATCAAACGATATGAGATAGACCGAGATGTATTTGAGATGATATGATTTTGACCGCTTATAAAATAAGAAGAATCTAGTAGATAAACTGTAAAGATTTATGCATTTATCGTTAATACTATAAGAATTTTGTACTTTCCCCCTAATATATTAATTTAAGAATGTCAAAGTTAGATGAGTTTCTTAATTTTCTTTCTAAAGTAACCTTTGAAAACACTACTCTTAAAATTGAAAACCTCGAATGCACTTATTTCTCATGTTGCCTTCTGTTTTGGTAGCTTTAAATATATATTTTGAAGTGAAGTACATAATTGAACAAAATTATAACCATTAGGAAAAAACTAAAAAGCTACCAAAATAAACTTAAAATCACAAAATAAACTAACAAAATAAACTTAACTCGATTCAAAATATACCTACGAAATAACTATAAACCTATTTTAAAATTAAATATTTTCATTATAAACGTATTTTAAAATTAAATATTAAAGATAACATCTACCCTGATATAAGAGGGAGAAAAAAAAAAAAGGAAGGGAGAGATGGAGGGAGGGAGAATTGTGGAAAGAGAGAGTAAATCATTCGTTGAGTTGAAGAGAGAAGATGAGAGAGAGGAGACATTGGGGA